TCGGTCCAATCTACAGACTGCTCGGAGTTCGGACTGACTCGTCCCAGCTCGAATAGGAGTCTATGATAAGACTGTGTTAGCCGAGCAAACTTCGCTCACCGGAGAGCTTGAGCACGGAAGAGAAAATTGAGCACGTGGAAAACCCGAGCCAGAGGAGGGAAAGTCATGGGCGCTCGAGAGACGAGGCGGCGCTGCGCCACCATTTGTGCTTACGACGAGCGTAGCTTCTCCGTGGTTGAAACCGTGCCAGAGAGTTATCTTTTGGCGAAGCCTGGTTTGGGACAGCGATTGACGCAATCGCTGCCGGTACAAGGGACAACCTGAGTCCTTCAAGCTGTCAAGCTACTCACGCAAGCCAGACTGCCTTGACGACCTGGAGTAGTATGTGTTGAGCGTAATATATTCTTTTTAACCGAGGTCTCCGATGTAGGTCCTAGGAGCACTCCAGGTAGCAAGCTTGAGTGGCACACGACAGAAGCTTACTGTCCTCAGTGTCCTTAATGTACCTTGCGTGTCATGCTCCGTAGTTCCCAGATGGCACTCGTGAGTCTACACTCGCCCTGCCACGACTCAGAGGCTACAGGTTTCATGCCAGGAAAATATGCTACGGAATCCGTAGTACGGATCCCGCGACATGGTTAAAGTTGGCTACCCGCTTGACCATTACGCCACGAAGGCGTACAAGAATTTACTTGATGTGTAATATGCTATCAGTGAAATCGGCTTGAGACATGACGGCGAAATTGATTGGCGAAATTGACCTCAGGCGTATCTTGGCTCGGATAATTGCTCGTCGTGCGATATTGATCTTACTGAACGCAAAATAGGCCTTTGAAAGGTGTAGTGGACACCAATCCTAAACGCCAAATTTGATAGGCAAAAAGTTAAGCTTCAAAAGAGTGACCGTAACTCAAGTAGGATCCATAATCGCCAATCTCTCAGCACAGAATGCCTTAACGCCATGAATAATGTCGGAGCACTGCTCCAAGCACCACAAGACTAAAGATTGGACTCCACGCTGAAGATAGGGAAACGTTTATCATAGTTGATTGTTAGGTCATGTTCATGATAACTGATATAGATCTCGACACTACTTTCATAAAGCCAAGATTTGAGGCCTGTGCCAGAGATGCCTGCATGGAAATGTATCTCAGAGTACCACCCGGAGCCTGGGGCCTCACCAACAGCAGTAATGTCCACCGTGACTCCACTCTCACCATCGGTCTTATCTACATAGGCAAGAGCTTTACTCACCTCCGTCGCGTTGACCCGACCAATGGTAGGAATGGTCACAGTGGTGAACAGTTGTACTGCAAACTCTAACTCCATGCGGTTGCCAGAGGTTTCTCCACCGACATGGTTAACTTCTGGTATGCTGAAGGATATATCGGCACTCATGCCCAAAGGGAGAGCATAGAAGCGGTTAGTATAACCCGACGCCCACATGCCAACATCGTAAGGACGCCAGTTCTTGTCCACGAGGAGTAAGAGTTGTAGAGTAGAGAAAAAGGGTAGAGGTCCTTGGGTACCGCGAATGAGCACTCCCGAAGACCACTTGTGTTCGACTGTATCATTCAGAATAAACCAACAATAATCTTTGCCCGCAAAGTCAGAAACGTCAGGTAAGCAATTGGGGGGTTCCTCAGCGACAACAGGAGCACGGAGGGAACGAAGCTCTGAGCCCTGGCTGGCGACAACTCCGTCTACCCACAAGGATCGAACGGGGATGGCGAGGAAGATTACAGCAACGTTATAGCTGAACATGGATCGATTACTGTGAAAAACCTTAACTGAAAATTATTAATCACTGTGACTGTCATCACACGGTGAGTAGAGTTCGGCATTATCCACAGGAGCATATCTGACCTCCTAGGATGAAACTCGATGTTTACCCCCTATTGGAGGCTCCGAAAGGGGATAATCATTGAGTTCCTCCGATTCGGAGGTGTAAAGGCTTGCACGCGCCAAACCCGGCCGGATTTACGCTAAATAGGAATCACTCTGTTCCTTCACATCAATTTGCACGCACAACCAACGCCAGACTGGCCGTGAAGACCGCCAGACCCTTCAACCCAACTGGACTGGCCACTGCACCCCAAAATTGTTGGTTAGTGCCGTAGCAGATCAGGGGTGTGATAGCATTGGTTACGTTGAACATATCGATGTATGAAGGGGAATCTCTCGTGGGGACATCAACAGGGACAAGCCATGCGTAACCGGAGTTCAAGACGAATGAAAGAGACATTGTCATTCGAGGTCACTGTCTACGATGCCTGTACTCAAACTTAGGGCCGGGCTAGGGTCGCTGAACCCCAAAATAGTTGATTAGTGCCGTAGCGGATCAGGGATATGGGAGCATCGGTTACGTGTAAACCGGAACATATCGATATATGAAGGGGAATCTCCCGTGGGGACATCAACAGGGACAAGTCATGCGTGACCGAAGGCTAAGACGAGTGAAAGGGACATTGTCATTCGGGGGTCACTGTCTACGATGCCTGTACTCAAACTTAGGGCCGGGCTAGTAGTAACCTTAGAATTGCAGAGCTCGCGATCGCGAATTTCAGTCGAATTATTCGACAGATGACTCGGCTGTGATGAAGGGTAAGCTCAATAAATAAAGCTCTCGTCGGACAAATTAGTTTTTGCTTTTGTGAATTCGAGCCTGTGTTGATCACAGCGTGTTTTCAAATCGAATTTGGCAATTCCGTGAATCCATTGATTTCGAACATTTGTATCTTGTGATTTACGGAGATAGAATTTTGATTTCGAAAATTGAAATCACGCGAAATATTAATTACTCTTGATATCTCGTAGTGGTTTGGGTGGTAGCCTAGGTAAAACCATTAACCGCACTATGTGCGGCAACGACCGATACCTGAGTCTGACACTCTGGTGCTGTTGGATTATCTCGATGGCACCTCTCTGCATCAGCTGGCTTCCGCGGCTTACCTGTCATTCGGGTCTGGAATTTCTGGCACGCCCGAAACTTGACAATGGGTGATAAAACGGTTTTCTGAAGGTTTTTGTAAATAGACTTTTACTATTCTTACCATTATGCTTCTGAGAGGTCATTGAAAAACTCTTCTGAAATATGAAAGTCGTCCTCAGTCCTAGAGTTTTGGCCGCTCAGTGAGCGACGCTCACTAGTAATTAGTTCACAAACAGGATGTTCGGAGACATTCTGAGACATTATTTCTAACACCTATCGTGAGGTTCACACAATAACAGAGTGATCGAAGGATTGAGTATACCAACGTGATCTCCGATTAACTGAAGTCTTTCACTTCTAGTACAGATTCCATCACGTTACGGAACTCATCATGGCTACGCAATACTGTATAGTTTTGGCGTGAAAGTGTTAGCTGAAGGGATGGATGACCTATCACAGGTCAAATACGCGCAAATTAATTGATTAACCAAGCGGCTCGGTGAATCAAATTTTGCACGGTGAGTCAAATTGAGCAAGCTGGCTCGGACCGAAAAAACTTTCGCTCTCGAAGTCTGGAGGAGCATCAATACGTGCATCCAATCATTTCAAGATCGCCGAAGCAGTTCTAGCTACACTTGGGTGGCAAGCCCTTGCCGCAGAGTTGTATGCGTACACGGACAACCAGCCGATTCCCGCTACTCGAAAAGATCAACCTCATTAGTGGAGGGTGGTCACACCTATGTAGTTTATCGGTTTAAGCGCGTCCTTTTGGAAGCCAGCCCAAGGAGCACGCATATGCCATCATGGCATATAATGAGGTCGTCAGCAAAGCAGGCGCCCAACACCGAGAGTAGAAGTGATGATACAAGCTCGACAGAGGCTAGTATTAAATTACGAGGTTTCACACCATACCACACGAGTTTGACTTTATAGTGTGAGGTTCACACGGACAAGTATAACTCACCGTTCGCCTCTTTGAAGAAAGCTCACCGCTAGCCGAGCACTAAGATGCTGAGATAACAAATGCGACAGTATCTCAGCCGTAGCTAGCGTGCTGCTCACGGTTTTCATCACAAAAAAAGATGATGTTCAGGATGAGGTCCACTAGGTACAATGTGACACATTGAATGCGTTCTCTCTACAACACACAATCTGCTTAACAACTTCACGCACTTCAAATAGGTAGAAACATGCTCGATCACTGGCTGCTATGGGGCCTCAATAATCTCAACGAT